ATCTTCATAAAATCCCTGTGATGTAAGGTGATCTTATTGCCATTTTATAGATAGAGAAAGGGTATAAAGATTAAAGCCAAAACTATCAAACGTGTTGACCAATTTTTGGTGTCCAGTTTGAGGAATCTAAAGACTGATTTTTTTTCAGAGTACTTAGCATTTTTATAGCAGGTTATATGTGAAAGCACAGCTTCCACTCAATTCATTTGCAGTGGAAGTGCTCAGTTCTGCAATTCAGATCTCAGGGTCTCTGGTTCACCACCCAGAAAATGAGGAACACATAGTTAGTGACCGTGTGTTAAAAGTTTGTTTTAAAAGACTTGCCCAGAATCACATCTTGAGTTCTATGACAGGGAACAGGATAGAATTCAAAATGCACGACAATGTAGCACTTTAAAGACTAACAAGATGGTTTATTAGATGATGAGCTTTCTATTTTCTTCCACTATTTGATCTGAGGAAGAGATGATGAGCTTTGAAAGCTCATCATCTAATAAACCATCTTGTTAGTCTTTAAAGTGCTACATTGTCCTGCATTTTGCTTCAGCTACCCCAGACTAACACGGCTACATTTCTATCAGGATAGAATTCAGTTTTTCTCGGTAATTTTCTCCGCAATTTCTAGGCGTTCAATTGCCTTAAGAATGAGACTCTACTTCCTGTTTCTGAAACTCCCTCCCTTGTTCATTGCACACCTTCCAAATTCGGTGGCAAAGAAAACAGGGGTCCTACAGACACAATACAGTTTCACACATATACAGACTCCTTTCATTCCCTGAGCCTAACCCACCCTGTGCATTGAATGAGGCTGGGGCCTGTGAGGAAAATACTATGTGACTGTATCCTAATGCATGCTCAAAAGGGGGCAGAATTACATTGTAGAGCCGTGGTCACCAACTAGTAGATCACGATCTACCGGTAGATCTCAGGGGCTCTAAGAGTAGCTCTTGAGCCCTCTCTGAACTGCGCGCCTGTGCAGTACATTTACATTAGATTTCCTCATTTGAGGAACAGCTACTCATCGAGCAACAACACAGGTGAGTAGCTGCGAGAAATGGTGAGAGCTGGGAGGTCGGGAGGGCTGAAATACCCCAGCCAGCTGACTGTGGCTTTCAGTTGAAAGTGGCTGCCCCGTGCTCCAGCTGATCGGCGGCTTCTCCTCTGCGCCTGCCCACGTGGAACTTGATGCACCCTGGCTGAGCACCATGGCCAGCTGGCCGGGCAGCCACTTCTCTTCCCTCCAGCCCGGCTGCCCTGCGCTCAGCCCAGGGAGGCTGAGTCTAGCTCCAACTATGCTGGATCAAGTTTCCCAGGCTGAGCGCAGGATCATAGATGCCCATCTGATGGATTGTATACGACTAGCAATCTCAGACTACAACCCAGACTTCAAGACACTGGCAGATACTGTTCAGTCACAGGTGTCACACTGAGACTTTGTTATTGGAAGAAAAAATATATAATTATCAATACTTGATTTTAGATTTACAAAATAGCAGAGAACAAAATGTATAATTGTAAATGCTTCATTTGACATTTAAATAGCATGAATTAAAAACAGACCATTTATTCAATAACTATAAACATGTGATTTTATATATTGCATAATTTAAAAATAAACTGTTTAACAGAGTGTATAAGGGCTGGGGATAGCAAGTGATGGACAGGAGAATAGAGAAGGCGGGGCTTCAAGGAAGGGGCGGGGTTTCAAGGAAGGGGCGGGGCGATAGAGCTTCGCCTGTTCTGAAACTTAAAAAGTGATCTTGGGTGTAAAAAGGTTGGAGACTACTGTTGTAGAGGAAACACGAATTCTGGCAGCACCTTAAATTCTGAGCATTTGATTTTGAAACCTTATTGTTCTTTTAAAGTAGTTTATATTCTACGCAAATTGCAACACTACGAATTTACATGACAGAATTACATGAATCATTGGCATGGGATCTTTGGATCTACAGCCCAGATTTTCACCACTTTAATGGAGCAGTAGTGGGCTACTAGATACATAGGATCCTAAATAATGTTGAGAATCTGGACCTAACTTCCACTGAAATCAATTACATGTGGGAACCTAAATATCTTTGTGGTTCTGGGCATCCGTCTGCGAGCAGGTTTCCACATTGATTTGCTGACAGCAAGGGAATGCTCAGCTCTGGATTCCAGGATGCAGGTTTAGGTTCTGAAGGGGAGCGTGTTCAAAATGGTCGTAGACCTTACTGCCCTTCTCTCCCCACTCTTACCCTCTGGTCCTAATCTTCCCAGTCTTCCTTCATCCCTTTCCATTCAAGCTAGTCTGCTTCTTCCAACTCCCCTTTGTATCCTGGGTGCCAGTAAGCAGTGCACCAAGAATGCAAAGGAAAATTTTTCCTTTGCTTTCAGTTCCAGTGCCTGGTACCACAGTGGCTCCTGGCAACCAGAAGTGATTGCAAGAAAAAATTATGCCCCAGAAACTCTGTGACACAGCATGCTCAGCTGCAACCTTGCCAATACCCACAATATGATTATTTTAAAGACTCAACTACTGGAGTCCACTTATTATCTGAAAAATCTCGGATTTTATTAAAATGAAAAAATAAGTTTCTAGCTCTCATGGTTCCAAACAAAACCATGAAACAATGAACCTTAAACGATCCAATACCAGAAGACAAAAGGAACAAAATCTATTTTGAAAATCTCACACAAGTTTTAAGCCAATTTCATGATATTTGAGGGGCTTCCCTTGTGATTTTTTTTAACACTCAGGGTTGGCAATACTGCAGTTACTCTGTATGGATGGCGCATGCTCAGTTCAACTGGCACATAGGAACTGTGGGGATTGAACAAATCCAGCACAGAAGGAACCATCAGAAAATAATAAAGCCTGACTCTAAAATACATCTATTGAGTATGTGCAGGCTGTGATAATTTTTGGAATTTTTCCAGAGGCTTACAACTTGGCCATATTTGGGCAACAGGTAAATCACAAATACCTTGATACCAAAGTGATTTCCTGACAAATTCCACATCTCTGCTCCAATGCATGGAAACCCATCTGTAAGAATTTTTTTAATATGGGCAAAAGAACATATTTCCCCCCAAACCTAACAAGTGATCTGATTTGATTGAAACTTTCCCCCAAAAAAGTCAGCCCAAGACAGATACCCACCACAGAAAACTTCAGCCAAAATGGTTTGGTTTGTGACATACAGAAGATTAAAGTACATGATCTAATGACCTACCACCCTTAAACTCTATGAAACTGTGAAATAGTTGATGTATTAATAAAATCAGGATTTTATCTCCTATGTGTGTCTCAGCAGAAATTCTCCTGGAGACTTAATATTTAACAAGAAATCTGAAATGCCATATTTATCTGTCTCCATTGTAACAGCATTCCAAGGCATGGAGGAGGAATTGATCAGAATTTACCCTTCCCATGAAAGATTGCTCAAGATTAGGCGATTACCCATCCTTACCCTTCGATTCCAACACCCAGATGCAGATGGAATCAGAACTGTAACTTACATTGCCCATACAGTTGCAATAGTAATGGTGAAGGATTAAGAGCACTAGTGTTGCTAAGAAACGCTTTGTTATCCTCCATTTAATATGCTAGCTATCCACTTAATATCTTAAGTAGACAGCAGGTACATCTAGACTGCAGAGTTTTTCCAGGATACCAGAGATATCCCAGAAAAGCTCTGCCACGTCCAAGGAATGCGTCTGCACATCTGGGTGTCGCTATCACTGTTGTCTATAAAATCATTTGTCCCCTGTCCATCTGATATGACACATTATTATACTGTGTGACAGGGTCAGGCTGGTGGGCTAAATTAGAGAGAGAGAGAGAAAGGCAGCTCTAAAAGGCAACAATGGCCCTGGCTAATCAGGAGGAGGGGAGACAGGGCTGCTGTAAATCAATCAGGGACACCTGATCTCACTTGAGGCTGCCACAGAGTCTTTTAAAAAGAAGTCTTCACCCCAGGGAGTGGGAGGAGAATGGGAGAGGAAGTGGAGTGAGAGGTGACCAGAACAGATAGGGAGAAATCTAGACAAACTGAGAAAGGTAACGGCAGCATTGCCACAGTCAGCTAGGGTTGCCAGGTGTCCTGAGGGACAAAAGCTTAAACCCTGCCAAGAGCAAGCAGGGCTAGTGGCACAGTACTGAGGCTGCCAGATTAAGGACTGAGCAGGGGTCTGAGACCCAGGAGTGGGGTTACCCTGCCACAACAGCTTAATATTATATGGACCAAATGTAACTCCATTCAGTTTGACCCCATGTGTATTTCTGAAAAGCATTCCAAACAAGACACTCAAACTACTTGGTAACATTTGTATGTTGATGACTTCTCTGTTACGGTTTCCTTATTTGGTGTATAATATTAACCACATCTGCTTTTTCTCCATATAAATAAAGTATTTCCCTATAATTTTCTCAAGAGACCAGGAAACAATTTATATTGAGTCACATGTTTCTGACCAGACTTCTGAAATGAAGAAAAGGCTAGACTAAGGTTGCTCCTATCAGCCCCTTCAAATATGAGGAACTCATTCAAGGGTTTCTGAAGCTATGTAGAGCATGAGGTAATATTAAATACAATTTTCAAGTACACAACAAGAAGCCTGCCTCAGGTCATTACTGGGGCCATGGTAAAACCACTACATGGAAATATTATCAGGGTGCCCTACTATTGCCATATCCAGACAATGGGCCACGTGGCTAGCGACAACTAAGAGATGGACACCTTGTTTGCACAGGGCTCTGCTCAAGACCATCACTAGCAATACTGGTGGCCTATGCAATCCAGCACTGGCACACACATCCCTCCATGGGGGGAGTGGCTGCTCTGGGGAGTGGGGGCGGGGAGAGAGAAACTGTATTGGGGCAGTACATTTTAAGACAATCTCTATGGGAAGTTATGCTGTAATAGTCAGGATATTGGAATCAGCAACTTAACAACTATTTAGGAAAGCACGTATTAAAATGATCTTACTAGTGCTTCTGTTCTAACACTGATTTCACTTACCTTTCCAAGAGCCATCAGTAAGTGGAAATCGATAGACTCCCTGTATCTCAAGATTTGGAGGATGCCATCCAAGTATACCTGATCCTTACTGAAGCAGCCTAAGGGAATCAGTCATGGTATTATTTTCAGGCTTTCAAAGCAATGCATTTCACAAAAATATTTATGCACAACATAATTGTATTTCCTACTATTGACTTGACAAATGTACCAGACACCCGTTGGATAGAGGATTAAGACTACCTGGAAGACACTGAGACGACATCTACATGACCTTAGGGATAGAGGCTCTGAGATCAATCTACCGGCAGTTAATTTAGGGGGTCTAGTGAAAACCAGCCAAATAAACCAAAGATCGCTCTCTGGTCAACACTGTTACTCTACCATCAATGAGAACAGTAAAGGAAATCGATGGCAACATTTCTCCTGGCTACCTCCCTGCAGTGTAGAACCCACGGTAACTCGACCTTGGTCGACTTTCTGTGGTAGTGTAGATGTAGCTAGACTAAGCAAAGGAATGGGCCTTTAGTCAGACTGGCTTTGCTGAGTATAAAGCTGAGCAGCTTTAAAGCCCCCAGTCACTGAAATCTGCAGCACTTTGGGAAGAAGCCCAGGGCATAAAAAACAAGGAAAGTCAAATACCTAATTATTTTCACATATTCCCCTTAAGATTCATTAAATATTCCTTTATCAAATCAATGTGAAAGTCCTGGGAAAAAAAAATCCTTTTTTATTTCAATCATTGATTTAAATGAAAGATCTTTGCCACTTCATGGTACCCATTGTAGAAAACAAGGAAGTTAATTTTTTACAACCCTTCGCACAAATTCTAGAACCTGCTAATAGAACATTTAGAGAAAGGAGGTGGAATGTGCTCAAGCTGCAGAGGAAACCAACCTGGCTGGGAAGTATCAGTCCACCCCCTCTTGGCTCGTACACAGTAATCCCACCTAGTGTTGGGGTCCTTGACAAACCTCCCCACATCCTGGAAGAGTTGACTGAAGGACATTTGACTAGCTTGATAGACAGTATAGTAGAGAAGGGCAGCCCGCCACAGGAAGGGGTCTTTTCGGAACAGGACGCTGTGAATACTGGCTAGGCCTTCCTCGGTAGGGTTGATTGGTTTTAACCCAAGCTTTTTACGTCCATTCCAGTTGCACCAAGGCTGGCTGTTGTTGTTAATACCTCGAAAATAATGAGTTCCTAAAAGGAAAGAAGAATGGAGCTTAGAAGAGTAATAACCAGTCCCTCAAATAATAGCCTAACTAGCTACTTGAGGAAATAACTAAGTTTAGATCAGCGGTTCCCAGCCTTTTCCAGATGGGGACCCATTTTGACAATTCAGGAAGACTTGGTGACCCAAGGCAATTAAAAAACGGGGGGAGGAAAGGGGGCAGAGCCATCTAGGGAGACACTTGGCAACCCTTTTAAAATGTAATGGCAACCCATATGGAAACTCTGATTTGGACCCAACTTAAGGCTTCTCACCTATTGGCACAATGAGGGACCAGGAAAGAGGTAACTTTGGCCTTGACAACAGTGGAGAATTTAACTGATGGTAATTAAGCAAGTAGAACAGCATTCATCTAAGCTCCAGCATTGCAGGGAGTCCCAGGGTGATTCCAGTGGAGAGGTCTAAAAGGACTTATGGGATTTAGGAGCACAAGTCCCACTGAACCTCTCCTATGTCCCTGCAGGGAGATTTTCAAAAGTGCATAACCCACCAAATTTATCTGGTTTGGACAAGGCCTTGCTGTGGATGAAAAGTGGGGAGACTAGAGGAGGGAAGATTCATGCTGCACTAGTCTTTCTATTCCTATGAGGCCAATTGCAGAGCATTGCTGCAGTTGTACAAGAGGCTGTTGCCCTCTAACAAGAGGATAGTTATGACACTGGGAACAAAACCTAAAAGAGTAACTCGGTTAAGGCCACTGGATTTCAACTGGACTTGCTCTGCTACACTGGGACAGGCTCATCCAAAACCTAGAAAAAGTTTGAGAAACTCTCTATTATCCTGGGCTAAATGTTTGTAACGTTCCTAACTATTCTATGTTATAGAGGTTTTTATACCATGCTCATCACTGTAGTGCAGGGGTGGCTCACAGATAAGAGCTGCAGGCAGCAGTGTCCTGGTCTGTGCCATTTCCTGCAGCTCCTACTGAACCATGCCCACCCTGCAGGCCAATTGTTGTCCACCATTACTATAGTATCTGAGTGCCTTCCTATCTGTAGTGCATTAAGCAAAGTGACTGCTACACATCTATCCTGTGTTGTTTGTTTTCTTATCCTCTTCCCAAATAACTCAAAATCAGAGGGGACTTGCACAGATTTGTGTTCCACTGGCAACATTTCTTGCATCTACATATCTCAAGGTCCTAGATTGGTGAGTTAACTCTGCTGTATGCTACAGTTACAAATAGTACATTCTTATGCTTTACCACATCTCCAGTATAAGATCTCTGTGGCAGGAGCCATGCCTCCTTTTGGTTTATCCAATGCCTAGAACATTATCAGTGTAATGCAAAACTATACATAGGAATGTACATAGTCTCTCCCACATGAAGAATTCATAGCAAGTGTCCATACCTATTTCATGCCTCAGCATCCCTTCTAGCCAGTGTTCACGTGCAGTGGAAACATTGATAGTCAGAGTTGGGCGGCCATTCACCACTGTCATTGAGGCACGAGAGAGCAGGTCCTCAGTGAGATGAACTACAATCTAAAGAGAAATGAAGGCATGAGGCATAAAAGTTTTTTTTTCCTTTCCTGCTTTTGCCTATTCTATGCTGCCTCCCACTCTCCCAGCATTCTACCTGGACTCGGTCACATGCCTCGCATGGTTCTTCCCAAAAAGAGGCAAATTACCCATGTGCTAAATTTGTGTGTGTCTAGAAAGGTTCTATTCTCCTGTGCTTTTGTGAATCCTTTCTGACTTCAGTGGGACTCTGAGGGTTCAGACATGCAAATCGGACAACAGAATTGGAATCTAACTGACTTACAGCGGGGGAAAAAGTGGAACTGACTGAACAAAAAGTACTTTCAAATGCACAAAGAAAACAAACAGAAAAAAGAGAAAATAATTTTCTTTTTAGATCATTTATTGGAAACTTACATATTACTAGAAGCTAGAGAAGGTAAATTAAAAAAAGAGAAAACCCTTGAAATAGGTACGTAAATTGACAATATATACAGACTTAAAAATATATTTAAACTAAGATTTTAAAGAAACCATTTATAATCTTTAAAGGTGACCTAGGCTATGTGTACACTTCACTCTAAACTCAAAATAAGATATGCAATTTGCACTATGCAAATTGAGTAGCTTATTTTGAGTTTATTTTGAAATAAAGTGCTATTTCGAGACATCTCTTAACCCTCATGGAATGAGGATTACCGGGATGCTGAAATAGCGCGCCCATTATTTCAAAAAATATTTTGAAATAACGGGTGGCTTGTGAAGACGCGGGGTAGCTATTTCAGGATACCTCTGGTATCCCAAAATAACTTTGATGTGTAGACATACCCCTATAGAAGTGGGAAGACTTAGGGTGTGTCTAGACTACCTAGTTTTGTCGACAAAAGTGGACTTTTGTCGACAAAACTATACCAGCGTCTACACTACCGCTGAGTTCTGTCGACATAACGTCGACAGAACTCAGCAGTTTTGTCGACGCTGGTATACCTCATTTTACGAGGCATAACACCTTCTGTCGACAGAACTCTGTCGACAGAAGGTAGTCTTGCCTGTAACATTGCGTCCAGACTACGGAGTTCTGTCGACAAAGCAGCTTGCTTTGTCGACAGAACTCAATGTGTCTGGACGCTCTTTGTCGACGGAAGTTTTGTCAACAGTATCTGTCGACAAAACTTCCGTCGACAAAACGCGGTAGTCTAGACGTACCCTTAGTGGGCTATCTTGCTGCACTATGATGTTTAATGGGCCACTTAATACTCAGTTAAATCCTAGTCTGGTAGATTAAATGATGCAGAGTCTTTGCATGGTCTCTCTCCACAGGGGTAAATTTTACCCATTGTGTGTGTATGTATGTGTGCATGTATTTGTGTATATACGTGTCTCAGGAATGAATGCTTGATTTATACATATAAATAACATTTTTTTCATTCCTGACATGAATATAAGACAGGACAAACCAATGAAGTCTATCCACTAAAATTCAAGATCCAGCATAGCACCCCTTTTTAAAATTAATTCAGCATAAATGTATACAACAGGAAGAAGAAATATTATAGGAAGCAGATAAAAAAAAGCCTTGCAATAAAGGATGACTGCAAATTAGAGGAATTTTGTGGTATGATACAGCATTAGAAAAATCCAACATGGTTGGGGCAGACATACACTCTGGTGACAAAGTGGGGATGTGCTACTCTACATATAACTGAAGGGACAAGGAAGGAGAGTTGTTATTTAGGATATACCTCCAAATACTTGACCAAAATCAAGAATAATTCAGTAGCAGGAAAGGTTCCTGATGAGATCTATTGCACCATTGAATAATCTCCCAAGGAAAGTAATTGGAAGCAACATTATTAGCTCATTGAAAATCTAGAATGGTTTTATAGTTTTAAAGGTTATAATGTAAGCAGCATGTCTATATTGACAAGGTCTCTTCTATCTGATTCTGTGGTTTTCATTGACATTTTGTGCATCCTACCTCACCAAGGCAGCCTTCTTTCACCATGTATTTCCTGACGTGATTCCAGATGCGACTTTTTGGCAGCAGGCTGCCTCCGGTGGCTTGCTCAAACTTTTCATAGCTTCCATATTTCTGCAATGTCCGTTCCATAATATTGATAGACTGTAAAAGACAAAAGTATATCAGAAATAAGTGCAATAAGATTCTGATGACTGTATTACCTCTGCAGTTATGGAGCGAATGGCTGTTTTTTTCCCCCTCTATCTTTTATGGAATGCACTACTAAACTCCAGGGCTACGTCTAGACTAAGCTTTTTCGTAAAAGGAATGTAAATTAGACGTATTCATAGAGGAATAAGTGCTCTTTCGGAAAAGGCTTTATTTTCCGCAAGATCAGCGTCTAGACTGGCGCTTTTTTCCGACAAAGCTCCGTGCGTAAAAAAAGCGGCAACCATTTTTATGCTAATGAAGCGGGGGAGATTTAAATCCCCGCTTCATTAGCAATTGCGATACGTCTAATTTACATTCCTTTTACAAAAAAGGGATGTAGTCTAGACGTAGCCCAGTAGTTACATATAAGCTAAAAACTTCTGTTGTACTCAGAGCCATGAATGAATCCAAATGCCTTAAGAAAAGTTCAGGAATCGTGTTCGCTCATCTTAGACTCCTTTGCACATAGCCTGCAACACACACACCTGGTTTTAGCTCAGTAAATGGAAATCAATTCCTTCAATGACATTGGGAAAATCATGTAAACCCAGTTCTTCAATAGGAGGTAGGCACCTAAATACCATGAAAATCTGGGCCTCTTTGTCTCAATGTCTGCACCTGCAAGTCAAAGATGAAAGTATGTCTTCACCTGTCTTACAGGAATGTTCTGAGGGTTAAGGAGTTAGCACTTTTCTCATTCATTTTCCCAGGAAAGTATAAATGTTAAGCATGATTACAATCACCCTTTTATTTCTTCATGTTTTTAAATTTAGAAATGCTGAATCATAACTAAGCATTCCTGATGTCTTCCTGATATTTTAAACCTTCTGTGCAATGGTTGTATGTGTTTGGAGAGACGAGTGATAAAGGACTGGGAAATCTTTTCTCAGTTTTCCTATTTCAGCATGGGAGTATTTTTTCTCAGAAGCACCAAGAAAAGAAGGAGATAAAAACCACTTGGTTGGCAAACTGATACTCAGTGTATTTATCTGTAAGGGTAAGTCCGTTATCCTGAAATAGCATTCTGCACTGTCTACACAAGAAGCCCATTATTTTGAAATACATTTGCAATTACAGGCTTCTTATTCTGGCTTCCCGTAAACCTTGTTGCACAAGGATTAAGGAAGATACCAGAATAGTGATTTATTTCAAAATGTAGCTCTGTGTAGACACAGCGCCAAATTTCAAAATAAGCTATTTTGAAATAAGTTATGCAATTTGCATAGCAAAAATTGAACAGCTTATTTCAAGGTACGCGCTACCATGTAGACATACCCTAAATATGTATGCTTTGTTGCTGAAAACAGAACTGAAATATAGATAGCACAGCACAGTGTTCAACTTGCATGAAGGGAACTGAGATTAATGTGGGTTGAAGATCTTGCAGGAGATAGGGATAGCCTGTTGCAATTTGTTTTCAATATGCCCACTCCAAAGACAATAAAATACTCATTAAGACTTTTTTATGGATTTCAGGCATATGTTAAATTTAAGATGGATGCTTTAAGTTTAGGGTTAGTAAAAGCAGGGAAGAGAATTCCCTCAGAGGCAAGAATTCAGCTAGCTGGGAGAATGTTTACAAGGAGCTCCTAGGAATTTCAACCAGCATATCATTGCCAGTAATGCCAACCACAAATGTTAAAAACAAACAAACAAACATGGAACTGGCTTAACTATTATGAGATTTTTTAAAAAAAAAGTTTGAGTTTTTTAATTTCCCTGTTGTTTTTTGAGCCTTTAGGGTTTGACTGGGTCTCATTTTCAAGCTTTTCTCTTCAACCAACAGAGCTTTTTTTAAAAAAGCTGAGATTATCATATGATCACAAGACTCACAGAGCTGGAGCTTTCAGACAAACCTAAAATAATATGAGACTTGTGATAAAACTATGATAGTTGCCAATGCAGCTCTGGACAGTTTATGGAAAACAACCCATTTACGATGATGTCTCATCATTACAAATGTATTCCTCCAATTAGGGTTGCCAGGTGTCTGGTTTTGAACCGGACAGTCCAGTATTTGAGCTTTCTGTTTGGGAACCAAATTGAGAAAAATAAATGAGACAATATAAATGTCCAATATTTTCTAAATAAGATGTAATGTAGATTGTGATGTAAAGTCAAGTGTGTCCGGTATTTTTGTTGAAACCATCTGGCAACCCTACCTCCAATATTTCTTGCTTCTCCCTTACGTAAGGCTTGTTTTGAGTGCCCTCAAATACAAGTAATCTGAGAGGGATTTCAGGGACTGCACCACCAAGCAGGAGTGGAACTTGAGCAATGTTTCTGCTAATCTTTTCCACCCACATGCATATTTTTTCCATCCATGTGCGAAACACATTTTTATGTGCACTGAGGCATGTGTGAATGTGCACCACCATGAGAAACAAAACCTAGCTGTGGGTGCTCTGCTAATCAGCCAGGCAGCACTGAATCTCTCCTGAGCCGCCGCACAAGCACACAGCTTACAGGAAACACTGTCCTTGAGTAAGAATCTCTGAGCATGCTTGCACCTTGTGTAGACATACCCTGAGCTAGCTTTAATCTAGCGCTCTCAGGTCCCAGAGTAATGAAGTGAAGCAGCACATACTTCAACCTGGGTTACCCCACAAGTACTACAGGCTTAGCTGAAGTGCATGCTCCGATAGCTTCACTATTTCAGAATCTGAGCTAGATAGATTAAACTAGTTTGGGTTAGGGTTGCCAGATGGTTTCAACAAAAATACCGGACATACTTGACATTACATCACAATCTACATTACATTTTATTTAGAAATACCGGACATTTATATTTTCTCAAGTTGTTTCCTGAACAGAAAGCTCAAATACTGGACTGTACGGTTCAAAACCGGACACCTGGCAACCCTCATTTGGGTGTATTAACTTGAGCTATAATCTTGAAGAGCAGACATAGCCTTCTTGTCTTGCAAAAATGAGACTGTAATGTTTTAATTGTGAGAGTTGCATCTGCAAACTGTGTGGCTGGTTCTAGGCTTGCTCTTTCAAGATGCTGGAACCTCCCTGAAGAAGAGCTCAATGTCTTCTATTCACACTGAAGTTAGGAGGAACTCAGCACCTTTCCTTGGGGAGAGGATAAAAGCAAGATGGGACCATACGTGACCAATGTTAGTTACATTGTGAAGCCTTAGTGTACTACTGGAAGGTGCCAGATGCTACAATGATACTTTAAGAACCTATATGAAACAGAATAGAACAGGACTGAGCCTTACCATATTAATGCTGCAAATATAATTCTTGTGCCACTAATAACAACAGGAAACTCAAGACTTTTTAAAAAATTCTATGACTAGCAGCACACTGTGATAATAAGATGACTATGCACACTGTTTTCAAATAGATTATTCTGATATTTGGTGAACTTGCGGGTTGACTTACTGTTTATAGTATATGATTCATTTGGAAACTTAAATAGCTACTGTCTTGTTTTGTTTTAACTAAAATTGAGCAATGCCAAGCAATCATCACTGGAACACAATATATTGATATGCATGAAGCATTCTTTAAGTGGCTCAAAGAGAGCGACTTAGCTCTAAAGAAGCAATTCTCTCTCTTTTTTTTTCTTTTTACACAGGTGCTGGGGGAAAGGATATATCTATATATTACAGGTTGGACCTCGCTGGTCTTGCACCCCTGGGACCTGACCAGTCTCAGATGAGGGATTTCTCTGGACCAGGGAGATCATATCTGCCCCAATGCTACTGGCTACTCCAGTTCTGGACCGGCCTCTTAGCCATCTCCCTTCCCCCAGCAGCCCCACTGCCCTGCCAGTCCCCCCACTATATACCCAGCTCCTGGCTGCACTGGGCAGCCCCGCTGCAGGCATGCTGGGCTCCTGGATGCTCAGAGGAAGAAGCAGGGTGGCTGTGGAGCTCCACAGCGGTTGGGGCCTAAGAGTGCAGCACCACAGCTGGTGGCGGGGCCCAGGATCTCAACTTGATTGCCACGGGGCTTGTTGTGGTCCTGCAGGGCTGCACTCCTGGGGCTCTGCCTTCATCCTGCCTCTTCCCTTGAGCGCCCCCACCCTCCCCGAATGCCCATTCAGTCAATGTTGGTTCCTTTGCTGCCACCAGAGCAGGCCCCACAGCTGGCAGCAGCAGAGGGGCTGGCATTGACCTCCCCACATCTGGCAGATTCTGTGGTCTGGGACTGGTTAGGCCGCAAGGGTGCTGGACCAGGGAGGTACTACTTGAAGAAGGTCTTACAGCACCCCCAATTCTCGCCTTCTGCTAAAGCAGAGCAAAAACAGTACCCATACCATATTAATGCCACATACTAGCTGCAGTTTCAGCTCACGGAGGCCATTTGCAGCTGACACACATTAAAGAAACCCTCAGTTGCTCTAATTTATGCTGGATAACTAGCCCAGCTCACAGCAATTCCAGGATCAGGGGAATGCAAAGGTGAGTTTTAAGTCACCATTGCCCTCCCCTTCAGACATGCCCCAGAATAACCTGCAACAGAACACTTAAAGCATTTTTTTCTGTTCCCCAAAAAGCCAACAGGACTTTTGTAATTGATTTCAATGGGAACTGGACCAGGTCACATTACCAACAACCATAACAGTTAGTAGTAGCAGATTATATGTTTTAATTTTTAAAAAGATTTTCTTGTAAAACCTGAAGTGATTATATATGCATGTGTGAGAATATATACAGCAGAAAGCCATGCACTAATCTGATACTTGGTCAAAACTTTTGTCATTCACGAGTGTTTTAAAAAGCCCCACCTCTTTCCCCAAAAGACAAAAGTTTTTCCATGGCAAATGGCAGTGTAAA